GGCCCCCCCCCCCCCCCCCGCCATATTTCATCCCACTCTGTTTTTGGAGGTAAAACAAAGTTGCCCACAATTTTTTATACCAATTAGGAGATTTTTTTGGCATTTATTACTTTTTAACTTGTTTTGCATACCACTATCTATTTAACTGGGTCACCTAGCAAGCGTCTTTTCCATTTAAAATGATTTGTGTACATCGCTTGACCACCTCAATGGTTTAGTAAAAGAAAAAGACGGCGATTAAACCGTTTCAAATGAGGTGTCCTGCTGATTTTATCAAGTCTGCTGAATGTATAATGAAAAGGGAGACGTTGACAGTGACACTGCTGAGAAAATGCAGACTATCTTATCTGAACCATTTAAGGGGGCCCAATTATAGATCAAGTTTAAAAGGGTAGAGGCAGCAGATTTACAGACACAAATCGATGAACATGGTAATCCCAGGAAATGTGACAGATACTCCTATTATAGAACGCTGCTGTGGTTGAGGATCATTACCTTTACAGTACCAAATACTCCACATTTATAAGCAGAGGGCACTCAAAGCATCTTCTTACCCTCTTGGCACTGACTGTTCAGTTCAGCCACACACGGATTCGTGGAAAAGGAAAAGGTTAAATAATAAGAAGGCATTCTTTTTGGCCCAAGAAAAGAGACAGCAAAATCCCGCTAGCAGGAATAAAAAAACATAAACAAAAAAAATGGGGGGGGCAGAAATGGCAAAATGTGCTAGAGTTTTAGCTAATGAGAGAGGCAACATTATTGGGGCAGAAGTCAAACTTCACGTCCATTGCTTTTCCATTCACATACGAGCAACATTTCTACCGTTATTTGTGTTGGGAACAATACAAGAGGTCACTGGGCAGATAGAAAACTGTAACTCGACCCAGCTACCCTGGACCCTGTATTTATGAGTGCTCTTGTCTTCTATAGGACAAGAGAGGGGAGGTGGCCTAGGGGGTCCCACCCATTAATGCCCAAAACATTAATGGCCGGAGATGGCCTAGGGTGTCCAACCTCTTAATGCCCTTAAAATGCTGCACTGGAGACGGGACCATGTGGAGCTCTGACCTGGTCAAGTGCAGATGAGATCTGAAGCCACTGATCACAGGACCCTCCGCCCATGTCCGAAAGTCGCAGGAACTACTCACAAGGTCATCAGATAAGGCAACCAAGTTTGAAAGGGCCATCCTTGTGGCTAACAGTCTAGAACCAACGGCACATGGAACCCAAAAACTGTCTCGGATCCAGGAGCAGAGAAAGGAAGGATCAAGTCAAGGTATCTACATTCCAGAGACACGGTATGCCTTTCTATAACCCTAAGGCCCAAGAAGGTTTCTTTGATCCTTCTGCTGCAATACCTTAAACCAATCCTGAAATCTTCACCGCTCCTAGCAAAATCATACTTTGAGGGAGAACCACTTAGAGAAGTGGGCTTCCTTGTCCCCCCAACAGATGCCCCTGCCCTGAGCTCCCAAGAACCTGTTTGCGGCAGCGTCCACTCGCTGAGCACTGGGATCGCAGCCGTGTGGAAAGAGTAACACTCAGATTCGTCTAATCCATCAGTGTCAGCAGCACCTGACAAGGCACTTCTTCACCAATCCTCATTGTTATTCAATTTTCTGCTCTTCCTCGATACAAATCCAGTGCTCTCTGCAGACCCATTGATCGGCATCATTTTTCACTCGGGTTGCTGGATGAGAGGCCCGGTCTCCTGGTGGCACCGCCTGCGCTGCAGACAGCCATTGCCAATGGAGGAAGAGGAGATTTATGAATATGAAACAACACGAGTGCCCAGAGACCAGGCTGAGCCACCAGAGAGCATCTCGCTGCTTCCCAGGGCCTGAACTCCAGACTTCAAGCGCTGTAATTTTATGCATGCATTTCATTATATAGCCACGGCCAGAAGCTTTTCTAGACAACCCGCAATCAGACAATCTTGCCTTGTTTGCGGAAATCCACATTTATCCTTTGTCAGCATAAACCCTTTAATCTGATGTTTTCGCTCCTGAGTAAGCACTGAGTAGGTTTTCAACTCCTTCTGAGAATGGACACGGCACAGAATTTGGACTCCCATCTGCCCTGCCTAGTGTGAGGGGTGAAATACAGGCCTTCCTGCTGGATGCCGGACGATTTGCAACAACGCAGGGCAGGGACAGTTAGCATCCTGCTTCTAAGGCGCTGGAAAATCATTAGCAGCTCCAGTAGCAGAGATCTGTACATGTTGCATTTAGCATCTCATCTGATATAGCGCACTTATCAATGCTGTAACATTTAAGCTTTCCAGGTTTATGCAGAAGCACCCCCTTTGAGCCATCAATGGTGACCGTTGCTGCTTCTGTGTCAACAGAAGATGGGAGTCTTCCATGCAGCTTGCTAAGGATTTCACAAAATGTTGGTTGTGTGTTTTGGCACACAAGAGATCTGTCAGCACCCAGGCCCAACAGCTGACAACAACAGTATTAAGGAAATGAAATCAGCCTCCTTCTCTTGCGGACTTGACACTTTTCCCCACAGTTCTGGAATCCCACAAATTCTAGGGAGGTGCCACTGCCTTTTTAAGGACAAAAAAACTGACCTGGCACATTTTCTACCAAGATCCCTGTTCCTCCCACTTTGCCATCCTCTGAAGGAGCTAAAGAAACTGACACCAACACTGGGGGTAGAAGGATTCTCCTGGGACAGACTCAAAAACTCTGCCCATGTTGAGATTACAAGTCTTTCAATTTCACTGCAAGATTGCTCTCCGTGGTACTGAATTTTCTGCAAATACTGGAAATAAATAGCCAGATTTCTGTGTGTGCAAGCCTTTGTTTCTCTCGTCTCTTTCATGTTGCCTCCTTGTATGGGAAACCCCGTGGGTCATACCAAGGCCAGTCTTCCAGAAACTCTAAAGCTCAAGACTATTTTCGACACTCCAGCATATCAATTTAAAACGGACTGCGATGAGCTTCAGTGAATCATTTAAAACATCATGTTTAAAGTAACGTTCCACCTATCCTCATCGGCGTTCGAGTCAACTTTCCGTAAAACAAAACCACTAGAAACTTAAACTAAGGATACACAGTGCAAATCAGATCAAATTAGTTATACTCAAAGACCAGCATAAACAACACTGAGTTTCAATCTCAACTCTTAACAAAGTACACTTTAGAACAGAACAATACCAGTGCAACACAGTGCAAATGCTTGGGAGCATTTTAAAAACTCAGAAACAAGTTTAAAAAATCAAGTGAGACTTGAATACTACGTGTTTTTGCTTAGAAAAAGGAACATTCTTCATCATCTTCCAGAAGGTCAGCAATGAGAAAGTGAAAAGGGATCCCAGAATGTAGGTTCAGATAAGAATCTATAATTCCCAACCTGTAATCCTTCAGGAATTCTGCACCAATTTCGAGAATCCCCTAGCTCGGTTGGATTACAACAAGCTAAACCCACCACTGGGGTTGTCGGAGGACACAAAAGAGTTTTCCTGGTTGATCTCAACCTCTTTTGCATGTGCTGAGATTAAACTGTTTCAGGCTTTAAAGATACCAGTCCTGAAACAGTTTAAACACCCTAGCATGGCAAACATTTCCTGTTCACTTGTACACAATTCCTCCGCTCAGGCTGCTAGATCCTGGTCTTATCAAAGTTTCCAAATAGTGTCAAAGGCATCAGAGAGAGAACGCACGCACTAATAAGGGAACTGTTAGCAAACCATTTTCAGCTGGTGGAGATCTCCAGAGTTTTGCACAAATCTGAGTTTTGCACAAGGCGATCCATGGAGATTTAACAAACTGATCCTGAACATATTTACCCAAAAGTCAGAAGGAATTCAGAGCCCTCACTTGTTTTCTTTAAAAAAAAAAAAAAAGATTCACACAGCTGGATAAAAAGAGGCACATTAACACAACTGGAATTCTTAGGAGAAGATGCTCAGAATAGTTTGTTTTCTCTCACTACGTTCAGCGAAGAGTATTCATAAGATAGCCACGCTTCTGAGCAAACAAGAGCAATTCAAGTGACATCAAGTGCAAAGTGGAGAAGAACTTTGCTGTTTTGGTTCATTGATCACTTACTAGGTACACTCCCCCCCCCACACACACACACAGCAAGGTAATTTATGGTTCAGCGGTTTAATAATTTATATGTTTCGGGGCACATTTATAAATATTAATCCAATTTCATCTTTTATGCTAATTCATATAAGAGCCTGAATAGAATATTACATCATAAATCCTATAATAGCATTCTTTCAAAAACAGGAACAACAAAAAAAAGATTTTATGCACAGAATAAATAATGCAATAGTTTGTAGGGTGCCATGGCACCATCTATTGGCCTGAAAAGGGTCTCGCTCGATTAAACCTCAACACATTTGTTCAGATCTGGCGATGCCCGCCGTTCCTACGGATCCCAGCGCTTGTATGAAAGATCGCACACAAAAAGATAGCCTACCCGGGTAGTCATCACCCAATTATCATTTCTATTTATAACAGGGGCATTATTCTGATCATACGATGTGTGTTTTTTTTTTTTTGGCAACTTGGAGAATGCATTTTAAAGAACTTAAGGATGATTACTCAGCCCTGCCAAGGATAGAGGGAGTTGAATTCAGGGGACCGAGCTCGCAGAAACACAATCGTCAGTAAATGACTACATTATCATTCATCCAGCCATCTCCTGCGTCAATTCAATTCAGTGCAAAAAAAAGTCATTAAAGCAAAGCTTCTCCAGCTCGGAAGTCTACTAAGGGGCCTACTCAGGAAACTGAAATGCTCTTTCAGTATTCTTTCTCTTTCTCTCTTCAGAACATTTTAGAACATTCACAACTCTAGGATGCGTGGGTCCTTTCTCAGAGAATCCCTCTTTCATCCAATTCTTTTTAAGAGTCCTGAGAGATGATCCCAGCACCATTAAAGCAGGCAGGAATTTCGCTTTCTTTTTCTGCCCTATTAGCCGCATTATCGGAACAACACAGGATGAAAAATTCAATGCTCTGGGTCCCCACTAGCGGGCAGTGCAGACACCTCGCTCGGCTATTCGAAGGGCCGCGACTCACCCATCGTGACGTAAGGCAGCTTGTCAGTCGATCCGTGGGGGTAAATGCTGTAGAGGTGAGGCCCAGTCACGTCAACCCCACCGAGAACCAAGGCTGCCCCAATGTATCCCTGGTACCTGGAACACAGCAGCATGGATTGTCGCAAGAGGGACAAAACAGGAGGGATGAGCAAGTCTTTCATTTTTGCATTTCCTTTCTCCAACCGCCTGCGAACGCCTCGCTTTAAAGACAAGGAAAGCTGTCTTGGTTTTCCACAGGGAGCTCTGAGGAGCACGAACCCTCTGTTTTTGTAGGCAAACCTTACCTACCCTTCTGGTGCATAAAAAGAGCCATGCATTCTTGCGAATGGTTTTAAAGACCCCCACAAATTCCACATCTTGACCCACTTTGGACGTCTATTACTGGCAAGTCAGAATCATTCCGTCTACCAGAGATTTGCAGCGTGCAGGTTTGGCTCCCCCATTCCAAACAGAAAACCTCATTTTTAAAAACTTCCCCGCATCTCGCGCAATCCCGTAGGGTGGTTCAGCGTGTATTTGTTTTTGAACACCCAGCTCAACTGCCTTCTGATCAAGATGGGGGCCATGACCACGCAACTGAAACCCTGCCTCTATTTTATATGTGTGAATCGGGGCCACAGCTGCCGTCTTGACGTTTGGACTCCTACTCGTGGAGGCCTCTGATAGGGGGGCACGGAAGACTTCTCTCCCCATAACAATCCAGCCCAGCCCAAGATTTCTTACCTGAAAAGCATCTGCTTCAGCATCCGATTGGCTGTCACAACTCTCGGCAGCCGCCCGGTTGAAAGGGAATGAAGCTCCATGTTGGAAGAAATCATCTGCGTCGTCATTTCGGTGTCCGCGGCTGTTCCTGCCCCACAGCAGCTGCAAAGAAGCAGGCACCGCCGAGGTTATGCCTCTCCAAGCCCCGCTGAATCGAATCAGCCTCTTCCACCCCAGGAAACGCACAGGAGGGCGGCGAGGGGAGCAGGGGCTTGGCTCAGGGGATCGCCCGCGATCCACGCGCGTCCCCCCTTCGGAAGGGGGGCTCGCCAAGCGACAGCCCCTTCCCGCCCTGCCCCAGCGCCACACGCACTTACTAGATGTTGGGCGCGATGAAGTGGATCTTGGAGCAGTTCTTGTCGGCGACCACCATCCCCTCGGTGGCCCGGGTGTCTGCCCCGAGCACGATCCCCTCCTGGGGAAAGGAAAGAGCGCGCATTTGACGGGGCTCCGCAGGGGGGGCTTCGGCGCGCCTGCGAGGGGGCCGAGGGCGCGTCTCCCGGGTGCGGCGGCCTTACCTTGTACACGACCCCCGCTATGGTGGTGCCCGTCTTGCGAGGCGTGGGCAGCCGCAGGCCTCCCTGGGCGCCCTCGGCTTCCAGCTGGGCGGTTCTGCAGTGTGAGAGGG